TCTTGTATTCCTAATTTCTATAATATTCTTTCTCTCTTCTCTTCATATTAATTACCCTTTTCTAATTCTGATGAAAATGCATCCAATAATACTGCACTCACTAAACCATAAATTAAATAATTCAATCCAAATACCATTGTTATATAAAATAACAATCCAATCCATGTATCAGTATATTATGTAGCTACTTTTAACATTCCAACTGCATCATCATTTGTAATTGTATTAAATACAGTCATCCATGATTTTCCTATGCTATTAAATGAATGCAATTAAGCTAATCTTTATGATTCATCAAATTTATTGACAAAAAATTATAATCCCATTATAGCATACATAAAAATAACATAAAACATTAAAAATGTAATATTTATATATGATTTCATTGTTAATTAAGCAATCTTCATTATTCTTACTATAAATTTATTATATTTAATAACTCTATATAACATAAATGCTTTTGATGCTCTTAATACTTTAATTTCACTACTATATTATACCAACCAAAATGGTTAAGTGATTGAAATAAAATATTATAATAAACATAATACAAGAACAAAGGCATCCAATTTATTACTAGTCTTTTTACTAAAATCTTGAATTCCATATCCAATAATCTTTAAAATGATTTCACCCAATAATAAGAATGTCATAACTGAATTGATTTAATCAACCAAATCAGAACTTAAATAACCATCTGAACAAAGAATAAAGAAATTTATCATAGTATATAAATCAAAAATAATTGAGACAGTCTTTTCTTCTAATATTTGATGTAATTTAAATTAAATAACAATCCAATAACCATAAAATCCTTATATCCAAATATTATATTAATGTTTATTGAGTTATTTTAGTATAGCTATCAATTTACTTTTACTTACATTTCTCAAAATATTAAGTATTGAAATATTATGTCTCCTTATATATCCTTATTCTAATTCTTTTTTCTATAAATAATATAAAATTTATTACTCTAATTTTAACAAAGTGTTCATAATTTTAATCCATCCAATCCAAATCTATAATTTAATCATCCTCTAAATCCTCTTCATCATCTAAATCATTAATCTTTCTATTTATTAATATTGAACATGCTTCATGATTCCATTTTATATCATTTATAATTATATAAGATTATCCCTCTTGCCATTCTGGAAATTCCATAAAACCATCTGAAGTACCTCTTGCCATTCTAGTTTGAGACTTTTAAAAGAATTATCTTTGTTTTCTTAATTGATCAAAATAAGATTTACGAGTTATTGTAGATTTGTTACTAGGTATTTCATTTTTTGAATTATCCATGTCCAATTCAGAAGTAAACATTCTTTTACTCATTTTAATTGGAAATTTCCATTTGATTTTTGAAGCAGTACTTTAATCTCTACTTCTTGTATTAATATCATATTTAATGCTATAAAGTCTTTAAATAGATGGATGTCCATTATCTGAAGATTATAATTATTATGATGTTATCTTTTCCTTTTATTTATCATAAATATCTAACATATAATACTATTTCAAATTATGTCTTTTAACTTTTTCATATTATTCTTTGAGTTTTTTCTCTTTTTCCAATATCTCCTTTAATTCACTTATTACATCTCTTTTTGATGTAGAATGATATTGTGAGTATTTTAAATCTAATTTCCATGCCAATACATCATTATATTTTAAACTCATCAATATCTTTTTACCTTTAACATCTCCTTATACTGCCTATTCAAATTTTGATTATTCAATATTAAAATTTCTTTATGGTTATAAAATAGCTTTCAAATTACATTTATCAAAAATGCTTTATTCATTATTATTAAATATACCCATTTCTTCATTCTCTCTTTTTTATAATAATCTCTATTATCTAGCTGATAAGATTAATCGTTATTATTTTTTCTTCTCTTTTACAGTCTTAGCTCTTCTTACCATTTTCTATAATTTATTAATTTAACCAAATCCATTTGTAAATTATGACTTTACTTTTTATGATTTCTATAACAATTAACTACCTTTTGGTGAAAATATTAAATTATCAATTAACTTAATTTATGAAATATTTGATTAATTAAGTGATTATTGAGAAAATCTTTTGCGTATTTTTTATAATGTTTTAATGTAATTATACAATCCAATATTTTTAATAAATCTTAAATTTAATGGTTCTATATATGATTATTTATTTGATAATTCTTCTTTATCTTCTTAATAATTAGATACAATTTAAGAATAATATGTTTTCAAAACAGCAATAATTAAATTAAATGCAAAAAATCCTATATTAATTTAATAATAATATTATACCTACAATAAATATAACCAAAACAAAATAAATCCATGTCATTGGACTTAATGTATACATAGTATAATACATAACATCTGTCCAATTATCCATTGTAATTGTACGTATGATTTATGCAAAAGCAAAAAAGAAATTATCAAAATTAGTAGCACTATCAACATTATTTAAAGACTTAAAACATTTCATATTATTAGGACAATTTACCCAACCACAAATATTTTAATTTAAATCCTATATCCCTTCCTCAATATAAAAACATTTATTCAATAATAATTAACTAAATAAATGAACACCAACATTTGCAAAAAATATACAAAATATTAATACTACCAAAGATGCTTCCATCATATACTTTAATGATTCTGTTAAAGCTTTTAATGTCTTTTATAATTATGATGATATCTTTGCTAATTAAATCAATATTCTCATTGCTCTTAAGGGTGAAAAATCAAATGACAAACTACCATATATGTACAATCCAAAAAGAATAAGCTTTATACTTTTTTAATATCTTACATTAACTAAATCGTAACAATTCCAAAATACTTTAAAAAACTAAACTAATCCTAATCCAACTATCTTTATACCATGTTCTACTACATAAATCCAAAAGAATACTATTTTATAATTTAATATTTATTACTTAATGACCAACCATCAAATAATTATTTATATGTAATATAAACATCATCATAAAATTTAGTTATATACAATACCATATTTATTGATACTAATAATAGCATTATAAAGTTCGATACTATATTGGTTGTTATTTTATAACAAATTAATGAAATTGAATTAAAAAATGTTACAATTAACTTTCTCAACCATAGTAATATATATGTATCTTTATAAAATTTATGATTCAACCAAATTTCTTCCCAACCTTCTACATGTACTAATTATAAATTATAATTATCATTATGAGGATCAACTTCATATAATTTCGTAAATTCATCTATAATATCTGGAATTTATAAATTCTTTTAAAATATTATCTCATCAGGTGCTAATTTTTGATTTTATCTAACTAAAGGAGTTGGTGTCTACTCTTGAATATCTTCTTTGTCTTCATCAATCAACTCTTCATCCATGTATTATTGAAGAGTTTTATAAATTTACCAATGCTTCGCTTTGAAGGTTTTCCTTCTATCAGGACTGATTTCAGTTTGTATTCCTCTAAACATAGCATTTTTATCAATTTCTATCTCCTCATTGATATCCATTTCATAACTTTCATCAGAAGCCATTTAAATTTGAATAATGTCATCTTAAACATTTTCAAACTTTAAAGTACTCTTTTTTCTCACTCTTCATAATCAATATTTAATCAATACTTTTTCTATTGTACATTTGCTCTTGGACTTTTCTAATCATTTTACCATAATTTCCTTGCACTTCGATTCCTTTGTAATTCACCTTTGTAGTTTCTCAAATTCTAAGCATTTAAATCACTAAAAACTAAATATTACAAAGCAATGTACCCCAATTGAAGCATTAGTGATATTAAATTAAAAATTATTAATATATATAATATACACTCCATCACCTAATCGAGTTGCTGAAACTAAATTATCATATCTATATTATATAAGACCTTTCATAATAAAATCGACTTTAAAATATAATAACTTAATTTTTTGTTAGATCTTCAATATTAATTAAATTTATATTTTTAAATCATTTGACAAATTATTTAAAAGAATAAAGCTTTAACACTCATTATATCCTCTCTAATAACTTCATCATATACTCCTTAATTAGTTTTTTTAATGCTCCTAAAATAACTTTTTTTTTTTAATTTTCTATTTTGAATTCCTTTAAATTTTACTATTTAAGAAAAGTATGAAATTATCTATATTATTGTTATCCTAAATTATGTAGTAAACTAATATGAAAATATTGTCTAAATGCATAGGAATTCATTTCTAATCAATTAGTCAAGATTTGCAATTTTTAAACAAATTTCTTAATAGTCTCTTATCAATTAATAAGGAGAATGATTTAATTGGAAATATGTTTACTCGTTTATTTCCTCTCTCTCTTAAATCCAAGATGTTCAATTAATTATTGCTATCACTAATAGTTATTTCATTAATAACATACATTAATCTCTAAATTTACTTAATTAATTTTTTAACAATTTAGTTAGTCATAATCATAATCTGAATTAATTATTTTAAATTATATAGAATTTTACTATTACTGCTTAATTGTTTCTAAGCCAAAAACACTTTAAGATAAACGCTTTTTATCAAAAATTTATTAGATATTAATAACTTTTTTTACTAATACATTAAGCTAAATATGATTTTTAATATCTTTCATAAAAATTTTACTCAAATTATTAAATATATTATTATAGTTGTTATGTATTCACATTATATCACTTATGTTCATTAAAAGCAGCTTTTATTATTTTTATTTCTAATAAATTTTCATTAATATGTTGATATCTTCTATAAATATATTATTATTCATTTTTAATACTGCGGTTTTTTGAAGGTATGATTATAATTATTATTTTCAAATCTCTATATAATTATACTTTTTTCATTCATCATCATTAATTATAGTGTATTCTCAAATAAAAAGTAATGTGTATGTGAGATCTCGTAATCATTTAATTTGATACATTTTGTTCATGTATTTTAGAGAAATTTAATATAAAAATGAATTTGTTTAAATTTTATTTAATAAGGTCAGAATGCACCCTTGAGTTATGATTTAACATAATCGGTGAATCTTGGTTAATTTAATAAATCCAAAGCTTGATGAGCAGCATTCAATTCTTTGTTGTATTCAGCAACTGTGGCATTGTAAACATCGGTAGCAAAAGCATAATCATCATTTTCAGCTTACAATTATCCATTCAATGTATCTAAATCAGCATGTAATTCATCAATCAAATCAAGAGTTTATTCGATTTTGTCTATATTTATTAAATTAATATACTAGTATTAGCTTCAATTTCAGCTGTTTTAACAACAACTGCTCTTTAGAATTCAGCATGTTCTTAGTTTAATTGAATAACTCTTGCTTCGAAATCTTTTTAGGCTTCAGCTTCATCAGCTGTGATTGTGTTAAGTGAATCAACTAATTAAACTCTTAAGTTGTTGAATGCAATAAGGATCTTTAATAAAATCTTTTATTATTAATTACTTCTTTAAGAGCTCCTTAATCAGCGAAGTTGGCTTCGACAGCAATTTCAATAANATCTCCTTTGTTTTTAAAAATCAAACTAGATATTAAAAATAATTTTTTATCAAAATTAAAATTAGATATTATAAATTTTTTCATATATTAGTTAGGCTATTGTTTTATAATTTTAATAATATATAATAAAGCCAATCAGTTGAAATATGAATAAATAGATTACGATAGAAAAATATTAAAGTAAAATTAATCTAAGTATTATCCTTAATAAAATTCTACTTAATAAGAAAATTTTGTTAAACCAAAAAATGTAAATTCTTTAATAAACTCATTGAGTTACTTTCAAAGATGTTATAAAAGGAATTCTTGATTTGAATCCTATTATAATTTATTTAATTTATGACTGTATTTTATTTAATTATAAGATATCATAATTTAGAGCTTTCTGGTGATTGAAAGATTGGACTACAAACTTTATTGTTATATTGTCAAATATCAAATTATTAATCAAACCAAAGTCTATAAGTTTAAAATTGTTTCCTCCTTTAATAATCTATAAAGAGCCTAATAATGTATACTATTTCTCTTTTCAAACTTTTAAATTCTGATAGAAATCTTAGTTCTAATAATTTAAATGAAAGACTAAAAATAGTAATAGGTCAAAATTAATACTATTCGGTATAGAAAAAAAATTTTTTAATGGAACAACTCTAGCCTTGGAACATAATTAACATTATTTTAATAAATTTTAATTATTTTGAGAATAAGCTTAATCAATTTATATCTGCTATTCTAAATCTTTAACACTTATTATATCATTGACGACTCTATCATGTTAAAAATTTATTAATCATCAAACAGTTTTTGATTTAATCTTTAAAATCAAGTTTTGTATTTTTTAATAGTATATCAAAATTATTGAAAATGTCTTCTAGGAATTTTAGTGTAGATATATGATTTAAGTTATTTAGATTTTGTAGAGTAATAATGGTTGCTCTTAATTTATTAATCTTAAAATTTCCACTATTTAAGAAAATAAAAAGAAGTAATATCAATAAGTTTTATCGTCTTTGCTATAAAAGGAGGAAAAGAGCCTAACAAGTTTAGTAATATTATACCACCTACCAAATATGAGAATTCAAAAATTAAGGGATTTGTGCTTACTGTTGATTGAAGGCTTAACATATTCATTAAATTAAAAAGATATTACAAAGAGCTAGATAAATATTTTTCATTAATTTTTTTATTTTAATCCACAGTGATTCAAAAAGAGTCTTGATGAATGTTTAGAAAGTGCTGTGTCTCTTGAGGGTTTATTAAATTTTTGTCAAATTCTTCTAAACCTTTTAGATTTAAACTAAAGAAGGTGCTGATAATTGACTAAGTAAACGAAGTGATTCATCAATGGCACTAATGGCTTCATTATGTTCAGCAACCTTAGCTTCAAAATCAGCATGATCATTTGCTCTTTAGACTGTTGCCTCATTAAGTGTTTTTCTGTTTTAAGCAATATTTTCTTATAATTATTCGAGTTGGGCAGCAAATCTATCTCTTTAAGGAATAAGGACATTATCATAGAAATCATGAGCATTGAAAACCTCTAATGATGATTTTATATATAATATTACCTCTTTCTTTATCTTAGATTTCTTATTCAAGTCTTGCTACTTCTCTATTATGGACATCTGTTCTTCTTGCATATTAATGATGGACTTCAGCTAATTCCTCATCCAATTCATCAATCTAAATAAATAAATTATCATACAAGTTTGGCAATTTCTGTATTTAGTTCTGCAAGGATACCACCTGTTGATAAATGGAGCTCACCAAAATTCAAGATAAAGTTTCCCCATCCTGATTATTTGATTTGAGCAAACATTTTTTAGTCATGACTAGTCCAAACTGATGCTTTGATATCAATTGCTGTTATGCTAAGAACGAGCAAAGTGCAGACTGCTACTTTTAACATATATTATTATTATTATTACAAAAGTCAAAAACGAATACTTCATTTTTATATACTGATTAATTAAATTCTGAAAATGCAAGGCTCATCATTTATATACTAAAATTTATCAATTCAAAAATCCTACTCTAAAAAAGACTAAAATTCCTAAAATTTAAGAATTTTATAAATCAATTTAATTTATATATTATATCTCTTAATATGTTTTAATATAATTTTATATATAATTAATTCTAACCTATATTTCTTTCCAAATTATTTCCCTATTCTTTGGACTCATCTACTTTTATTTAAATATAACTTATAAAATTAAAAATATAAAATTAATAAAGAGATAGACTATAATTTATTTCATATTTTTAATCTTAATACAAAAATATCATCTTAAACCTTTAACTAAGTTATAGCTTAAACATCAAATATTAATTTTATTAATAATTACTAATAATTAATTTATGAATCTATACAGTACTTCAAATAAAAGGCTATTTATATCAATAAAGAATAATTGCTGAATTCAAGTAAAACTGATATTAGAAGGCTAGCAAATGAAGGCAAAAATTTTAAATGCCAAATAAGAGAATTAGATGGTGAATATTATGCCAATAGAATAATTGCATTAAAAGCAGAAAATGATACAGCCTAAACGATAAGAAATTAGTCAAGTATTGCTATCCAAATATCTAAATATAAATTGATGAGTAAATTTATAAGGAGTTAAACTATATAAAAATCAGGTTGAGACTGGTAAAAATGGATTAAAAGTATTAAATTTATTTATATTAAGTTATTTGATAGTTTAAGTTCAGGTAGAAATAGAAGCAATAATCCTTCAATAATAAGTTCGAAAAGTTTAGAAAATATGCATTAAAAATTGTCTCATTTATATAAAAATTATTCAGTCAATGATATTTCGAAAATTAAGAATTTTAGTAATTATGCTGTTGAAAAATATGAAGATTTTAATCAAAAATCTCAAGACTACCATAAAATATCAAATTCATTTATTAAATGGAAAAAAAAAGCATAATAAATTTAAAAAGTTAAGACAAATAATAATATATAATATAGCTAATCAATGATTATTTATTCCGTTTATTCTCAAGATTAAAATTGACTCATCAATTATTTCATTAATGGGTAAGAATAAAATTAAAGTAAATTAGGACAATAAATGTAAAACTCAATCCTCCTATAGAGTTTATAAATTCAAAAATAACATCATTACAAAATTGAATGAAATCGATAGTTTTTATAATACAAGCAGATTCTAAAAAACTTTATGATTATTGGTGGTAAAAGCACTTCTAAAAAGAAAATAGTAGAGTAATTAATTAGATCTATGATTATGCAACTCTAGTCCAATGTACTAAGTTACTTTATGTTAATATGAGTGTCACTTATAAAATCCAGAAGTGATCTTTTATCAATTACAGTTATTGATTTAACAATCTCTGACAAATCCATATTATTATATAAAATAGTTTTTTCATGATTAACTTTAAATCACTTTAAATCCTTAACTTTGATGAATTTAAAAAATAAAAGATTATATTGTATCAAAGGCTATAATATACAATTATCAACTTATACTGAAAAACTTTAATATAATATTTTTACAATTAATTATTTAATCTCTAGTAATAATTGCTCAATCTTTACAGATAGTTAAAGTCTTATTTAAAAAGGGGAAGAACATAAATTTATATTGAATTGCTTGGAATAAATGAATAATGATGAAACTGTTAGATTATTTTGAATAAATCCATAAAGATATAGAATTTATGATTCCTTAAATCTATTACAAATAATTATTAATTGAATAGAATTATTTAACCTGAAGTTATTAGATTTAAACCATCATAATTTGGTTGTCAAAATTATTTAAAAAAGTATTTTATTAATTAATTAACAATAATTCAATATTTATTATATATATGAATATAAAAAATTTTAATTAGATTAATGTATTATTTACTTCACAAGTATTGTTTGAATAACTTTAATATTATCATGTTTAAAGTTTAAAATTCAGATAACTATTTAAATTAATATAATAACTACAATATTTCTCAATTGTCAATTCATAGTGTGTTAGTAATTAAATTTCTTTATATATTATTTATTGTTTTTGATTTATATATAATTTATTTAAATAAAAATAATTAAATTACTCTATTCTTTGAATTATTAGTGTAAGTGCATTACTCATAATCATGAATATAAAATTATTTAATAATTTATTTAATAGAAAAAGGAATCAAAAAATAAAATATACAACCTCAAGATTAATATTACATTTTTAATTTTATAACCTAATTTATAATAAAAAATAAATGAAATATTAGCATTAGTTGTTGTTAAAGAATATAAAAGTTTACAAGAATAATTGTCTAATTTTTTATATATTATCCTAATATATATAATTTAGTCTATTTTTAGCTTCAGAATTATGATGCTAATAATCTAATTTAATCTGTTAGAGTTGAATAACAATATAGATAATTTTCTTATAATATGAATATTTTTTTAGAATATACCTTAGAATTCTCTCTTTCATTAAAAATATTGACTGCATAGTAGCTTTTAATTCTATTTATGAATCTTAAANTGGAAAAAAAAAGCATAATAAATTTAAAAAGTTAAGACAAATAATAATATATAATATAGCTAATCAATGATTATTTATTCCGTTTATTCTCAAGATTAAAATTGACTCATCAATTATTTCATTAATGGGTAAGAATAAAATTAAAGTAAATTAGGACAATAAATGTAAAACTCAATCCTCCTATAGAGTTTATAAATTCAAAAATAACATCATTACAAAATTGAATGAAATCGATAGTTTTTATAATACAAGCAGATTCTAAAAAACTTTATGATTATTGGTGGTAAAAGCACTTCTAAAAAGAAAATAGTAGAGTAATTAATTAGATCTATGATTATGCAACTCTAGTCCAATGTACTAAGTTACTTTATGTTAATATGAGTGTCACTTATAAAATCCAGAAGTGATCTTTTATCAATTACAGTTATTGATTTAACAATCTCTGACAAATCCATATTATTATATAAAATAGTTTTTTCATGATTAACTTTAAATCACTTTAAATCCTTAACTTTGATGAATTTAAAAAATAAAAGATTATATTGTATCAAAGGCTATAATATACAATTATCAACTTATACTGAAAAACTTTAATATAATATTTTTACAATTAATTATTTAATCTCTAGTAATAATTGCTCAATCTTTACAGATAGTTAAAGTCTTATTTAAAAAGGGGAAGAACATAAATTTATATTGAATTGCTTGGAATAAATGAATAATGATGAAACTGTTAGATTATTTTGAATAAATCCATAAAGATATAGAATTTATGATTCCTTAAATCTATTACAAATAATTATTAATTGAATAGAATTATTTAACCTGAAGTTATTAGATTTAAACCATCATAATTTGGTTGTCAAAATTATTTAAAAAAGTATTTTATTAATTAATTAACAATAATTCAATATTTATTATATATATGAATATAAAAAATTTTAATTAGATTAATGTATTATTTACTTCACAAGTATTGTTTGAATAACTTTAATATTATCATGTTTAAAGTTTAAAATTCAGATAACTATTTAAATTAATATAATAACTACAATATTTCTCAATTGTCAATTCATAGTGTGTTAGTAATTAAATTTCTTTATATATTATTTATTGTTTTTGATTTATATATAATTTATTTAAATAAAAATAATTAAATTACTCTATTCTTTGAATTATTAGTGTAAGTGCATTACTCATAATCATGAATATAAAATTATTTAATAATTTATTTAATAGAAAAAGGAATCAAAAAATAAAATATACAACCTCAAGATTAATATTACATTTTTAATTTTATAACCTAATTTATAATAAAAAATAAATGAAATATTAGCATTAGTTGTTGTTAAAGAATATAAAAGTTTACAAGAATAATTGTCTAATTTTTTATATATTATCCTAATATATATAATTTAGTCTATTTTTAGCTTCAGAATTATGATGCTAATAATCTAATTTAATCTGTTAGAGTTGAATAACAATATAGATAATTTTCTTATAATATGAATATTTTTTTAGAATATACCTTAGAATTCTCTCTTTCATTAAAAATATTGACTGCATAGTAGCTTTTAATTCTATTTATGAATCTTAAAAGATTTAAAGGACTTATTCTCTGTTTGTTTCTTCTTTTTTAACTTCAATTTGTGATTATAATTTCTAGAATAATTTTATTATAAGAGTAGGCTATAATCAGATAATTTATCAATAAAGGTTTCACCAAAATTTTAATTTATCGTTGTTTGTGCAAAAACCAGCAGTTTCTTATTCTAAAAGTTAAAAAATAATATCAATAGAATCAGCAAAAATAGACCTTACAAGATGTACATTACACCTACAATTAATCTTATAATTAAGGATTTCTTCTTTTAATTTGAGCATGTCTTGATTCAGTTCGTGCTAAACATGAAGATCAATAATAAATGCTTTTAACTTTGACATAGACTCTCACTTCACCTAGAACGTCAGATAATTTTTTATTGATTGAGCTAACATTTTTCAAAATATACAATAAACTAATCAATGATTTTTTTAAATTTCCATTTATATCCTCATCTATTTAATACTTAATATCAGCAGCAGGGACTAATATCTTGAAAAATATAATTCTCCCATAAAAATATGAACTTTAATTACAGATTCAAAAATTAGTACTCTTCCATCTTGTTTTTTTACTTTTGCTGAAAATCAACTTACTTTACATACTATTAATTAGAGTCAAGATTAAGTTGTTTCCTTTTATTATTGTAATTCTATCAAAAAATAAATTTTATGCTAATACTTTATTTCAAATTATTAATTAATATTTTAATAGAAATAGGAATATGCAATATCACTAATAAGTCAATACACTTTTGGATGCTAAGACAGAGGAATATCCAAAAAGGAAGTTCCAATTAACAAAACTTCTTGGTTCTGGCTCGGAAGGAGGAGCCTTTCTTGCTAATGCTACTGAATGGGGCAATAATCCGAAATAAGTAGTAATTAAAATACAAAAAAACATGAAACCTGATGAAAAAGATTTTCTTTCTCGTTTAATAGATTACCAAATAAAATATGAAAATGGTAAAAATTCATAATATCTTCCTACTCATCTAATCAGAATATATGAATATTTTTAATGGTAATAAAACCATTGCATTGTTATGGAAGTTGGGCAAGAAGATTTGTATAATTACATAGGTAAAAGTTAGAATGTATCAATATAAGAAAAAGAAAAAATTTGTTTTTAGGTATATATTTTAATAAATATAATTATAGATTCTTTACCCAATACGATTTTTACATGAATAGAAGTTAGTCCATCGAGATATTAAACCAGAAAATTATATTAAAGTAGGAAATATTTTTAAACTTATTGACTTTGGTTTAATTAGGAGTTCTATATCTGAAAATAAAACATAATAAGTTGGGACTAAAATCTTTCAAGCACCAGAAATTTTAGAAAATAGCAGCTCATATACAGATAAAGTTGATGTCTGGTCATTAGGATGTGTTTATTATGAAATATTATCAACTTAACCTTTGTTTGATGGTATAAATAAATTTATAACCTTAGGATAATCTCATTAAGATATAAATAGAAAAATTAAAAATCATAAAACTAAGCCAGAATTGATTAACAATAAAATCAATTAATTATAAACTTCATAATAATTTAAAAACATTTTAATTTAAATGTTATTTTATGAAGAAAATAAAAGGCCATCAATAGAATAGATTTATAATCAATTCAACAATTACTTAAATCCATAATCTATAGTTATTCAATAAATTGTACTCAAACCAGATAATTTAGAACCATAATAACCATAAGCAACTAAATAATAAGAATAAATAAAGCCTCAAAATACAAATCCTACTATTAAATTTTAAACTAATAGTTCTGAATAATAAAATCAAAATAAAGAACTTAATTTAAATTAAGAATAAACAAAGATTACATAAGAAATGAAAAAAGACTAGATTGAATTAGAAGAATTTAATTAATCCTAATTAAATTAGATATAAAAAATTGTTGAGGATAACTAGATTAAAATATTAGAATAAATCAATAGCAATGTAGAATCAAAACTTAATGAATCTAAAAATTAATTATAAAGCCACGATGTGGATATAAAAAATTTAGGTTAAAAAATATAAGATATTGAAAACAATATGAACAAAAAACAAGAAGAGGATAAACATAATTAAACATAAATTTAAGAATAATAGAGAAAATTAGATGAATAAAATAAAAATTAAATTAAAGAAATAGAATCTTAAATCTAAAAAGAAAAAAATGATGAAAAATAAACATTAGATAAGAAATTGGAATAATTTTAATAATAATTAGAATAATTATCATAATAAATAGATATGTAGAGAAAAAATATTGAAGAATAGGACATAGAAAAATACATAAAACAAGAAATATCACAAGAGAATGAAAAGTTAATTAAACAATTAGAATCAAAATATAAAAACTAATTAGACCATATGTAATAATCACTGGATCAAGTATCATAAACATAGAAAGAATAAAATGATTCTTTTATTTCTCTTGTCAAAAAAAGTTAAAATTAAGTAGAGGAAATTGAAGGGTAATGGAAAAATTATGAACAATAAATATATCACTCTTTAAATGAAATGAAATTGTAGTTGGAAAATTTATAATAATCACAATTAACATTAACTTAGTAATATAGAAATGATAATTCAGGACAATAATTATAAGATAATTAGACACAAGGATAAAATATAACTAATCAATATAAAATTTCATCTTAAAATATCTAGAATAAAACCAATGATTTTGATCAAAGATAAGTCAATTAAAATATCTAAGATAAACAAATATTTGTTCAATAATTAAATTAATTAACACCAATGTTGGTCTAAGATTTAACATACGTATTATAAAATTAATCTATTTAAAATGAAAAAAATTAAAATAATTAATAAAGTAATTAATAATAAACTTCAGATTAATAATCAAATATTTAAGAAACAACATATTTTTAAGAATAAAAAAGTGAGAATCCTTATTTAAATATATAATCAACATAGGAATACAAGAATCTTATTTAAAATTTAAGATGTGAATTTTAGAAATAAGGTAATTAGTATTAGGATGAAATTAAAAAATAATAAACAGCATTAGCAGAGTTAAAGAATAAAAATAAAAAAATTAAGAAAAAAAATGAATAATAAGAATAATAAATTGAGCAATTGAAAAACACCGAAAAACAAGTTTAGTTCTTAATTGAACACTTCAAGAATAAGTAGAATCTATAAGAATTTATGAAAAAAAATAATAAACAATATTTGGAATTGGTCGAGCTTATAAACGAAAATAATTGTTGAATTTATAAAATAACATTATCAACAAATAATTATTTATCTGAATTATTGATAAACTTATTAGATTAAATTAATAATAAAAATAAATAATAATTTAAACTAAATTATTTATTTTTATTAGTCTAAATCAACCAATTTTTGAATATTTCATGAATTACTTGAGATAAATCTTATGTTTCTTTGGTTATATTTTAATAAATTATTTTATTAATCGTAATTTTTCTTTTGAAAATATAATTTTAATTTTATAAGGCATAATGTTCCATCTTACTTATATGGCCACATTTAAAGGGAGTAAACTTTAGAATTTTAAGAGTCAAATTGAACTAAACCCTGGGCTTATCATTTTTAATATATATCTGTTTTAGGTAGCTAAGTTCGAATTTTGTAAATCATTATTTCATATTTACTTTGAGTCATTTGTTACTCATAATCTTTCTATACAATAGAACCCCTAAGGTTACAATTAATTATAAAAGAAATTAAACTATCTTGTAAATGTTAAGTAATTATTTGTAATAAACTTATGATTATACTTATAATTACTTATTATTTTATGTATGAAAACTTTAAAGTCAATTAGACAATAATTATAAATACTCTAATTAATCTAAAATTTTAGTCTTATTGTTATTTTCAATCAATCAATATATATTTTGATTCAAAGAATACCATTAATATAATGAATTCATCTTAAATTAGATCAATATAATATTTTTAATAAAGTGAAAACTTTTATGGTATATTTAACATTATGCCTTATAAAATTAAAATTATATTTTCAAAAGAAAAATTACGATTAATAAAATAATTTATTAAAATATAACCAAAGAAACATAAGATTTATCTCAAGTAATTCATGAAATATTCAAAAATTGGTTGATTTAGACTAATAAAAATAAATAATTTAGTTTAAATTATTATTTATTTTTATTATTAATTTAATCTAATAAGTTTATCAATAATTCAGATAAATAATTATTTGTTGATAATGTTATTTTATAAATTCAACAATTATTTTCGTTTATAAGCTCGACCAATTCCAAATATTGTTTATTATTTTTTTTCATAAATTCTTATAGATTCTACTTATTCTTGAAGTGTTCAATTAAGAACTAAACTTGTTTTTCGGTGTTTTTCAATTGCTCAATTTATTATTCTTATTATTCATTTTTTTTCTTAATTTTTTTATTTTTATTCTTTAACTCTGCTAATGCTGTTTATTATTTTTTAATTTCATCCTAATACTAATTACCTTATTTCTAAAATTCACATCTTAAATTTTAAATAAGATTCTTGTATTCCTATGTTGATTATATATTTAAATAAGGATTCTCACTTTTTTATTCTTAAAAATATGTTGTTTCTTAAATATTTGATTATTAATCTGAAGTTTATTATTAATTACTTTATTAATTATTTTAATTTTTTTCATTTTAAATAGATTAATTTTATAATACGTATGTTAAATCTTAGACCAACATTGGTGTTAATTAATTTAATTATTGAACAAATATTTGTTTATCTTAGATATTTTAATTGACTTATCTTTGATCAAAATCATTGGTTTTATTCTAGATATTTTAAGATGAAATTTTATATTGATTAGTTATATTTTATCCTTGTGTCTAATTATCTTATAATTATTGTCCTGAATTATCATTTCTATATTACTAAGTTAATGTTAATTGTGATTATTATAAATTTTCCAACTACAATTTCATTTCATTTAAAGAGTGATATATTTATTGTTCATAATTTTTCCATTACCCTTCAATTTCCTCTACTTAATTTTAACTTTTTTTGACAAGAGAAATAAAAGAATCATTTTATTCTTTCTATGTTTATGATACTTGATCCAGTGATTATTACATATGGTCTAATTAGTTTTTATATTTTGATTCTAATTGTTTAATTAACTTTTCATTCTCTTGTGATATTTCTTGTTTTATGTATTTTTCTATGTCCTATTCTTCAATATTTTTTCTCTACATATCTATTTATTATGATAATTATTCTAATTATTATTAAAATTATTCCAATTTCTTATCTAATGTTTATTTTTCATCATTTTTTTCTTTTTAGATTTAAGATTCTATTTCTTTAATTTAATTTTTATTTTATTCATCTAATTTTCTCTATTATTCTTAAATTTATGTTTAATTATGTTTATCCTCTTCTTGTTTTTTGTTCATATTGTTTTCAATATCTTATATTTTTTAACCTAAATTTTTTATATCCACATCGTGGCTTTATAATTAATTTTTAGATTCATTAAGTTTTGATTCTACATTGCTATTGATTTATTCTAATATTTTAATCTAGTTATCCTCAACAATTTTTTATATCTAATTTAATTAGGATTAATTAAATTCTTCTAATTCAATCTAGTCTTTTTTCATTTCTTATGTAATCTTTGTTTATTCTTAATTTAAATTAAGTTCTTTATTTTGATTTTATTATTCAGAACTATTAGTTTAAAATTTAATAGTAGGATTTGTATTTTGAGGCTTTATTTATTCTTATTATTTAGTTGCTTATGGTTATTATGGTTCTAAATTATCTGGTTTGAGTACAATTTATTGAATAACTATAGATTATGGATTTAAGTAATTGTTGAATTGATTATAAATCTATTCTATTGATGGCCTTTTATTTTCTTCATAAAATAACATTTAAATTAAAATGTTTTTAAATTATTATGAAGTTTATAATTAATTGATTTTATTGTTAATCAATTCTGGCTTAGTTTTATGATTTTTAATTTTTCTATTTATATCTTAATGAGATTATCCTNGAAGTTTATTATTAATTACTTTATTAATTATTTTAATTTTTTTCATTTTAAATAGATTAATTTTATAATACGTATGTTAAATCTTAGACCAACATTGGTGTTAATTAATTTAATTATTGAACAAATATTTGTTTATCTTAGATATTTTAATTGACTTATCTTTGATCAAAATCATTGGTTTTATTCTAGATATTTTAAGATGAAATTTTATATTGATTAGTTATATTTTATCCTTGTGTCTAATTATCTTATAATTATTGTCCTGAATTATCATTTCTATATTACTAAGTTAATGTTAATTGTGATTATTATAAATTTTCCAACTACAATTTCATTTCATTTAAAGAGTGATATATTTATTGTTCATAATTTTTCCATTACCCTTCAATTTCCTCTACTTAATTTTAACTTTTTTTGACAAGAGAAATAAAAGAATCATTTTATTCTTTCTATGTTTATGATACTTGATCCAGTGATTATTACATATGGTCTAATTAGTTTTTATATTTTGATTCTAATTGTTTAATTAACTTTTCATTCTCTTGTGATATTTCTTGTTTTATGTATTTTTCTATGTCCTATTCTTCAATATTTTTTCTCTACATATCTATTTATTATGATAATTATTCTAATTATTATTAAAATTATTCCAATTTCTTATCTAATGTTTATTTTTCATCATTTTTTTCTTTTTAGATTTAAGATTCTATTTCTTTAATTTAATTTTTATTTTATTCATCTAATTTTCTCTATTATTCTTAAATTTATGTTTAATTATGTTTATCCTCTTCTTGTTTTTTGTTCATATTGTTTTCAATATCTTATATTTTTTAACCTAAATTTTTTATATCCACATCGTGGCTTTATAATTAATTTTTAGATTCATTAAGTTTTGATTCTACATTGCTATTGATTTATTCTAATATTTTAATCTAGTTATCCTCAACAATTTTTTATATCTAATTTAATTAGGATTAATTAAATTCTTCTAATTCAATCTAGTCTTTTTTCATTTCTTATGTAATCTTTGTTTATTCTTAATTTAAATTAAGTTCTTTATTTTGATTTTATTATTCAGAACTATTAGTTTAAAATTTAATAGTAGGATTTGTATTTTGAGGCTTTATTTATTCTTATTATTTAGTTGCTTATGGTTATTATGGTTCTAAATTATCTGGTTTGAGTACAATTTATTGAATAACTATAGATTATGGATTTAAGTAATTGTTGAATTGATTATAAATCTATTCTATTGATGGCCTTTTATTTTCTTCATAAAATAACATTTAAATTAAAATGTTTTTAAATTATTATGAAGTTTATAATTAATTGATTTTATTGTTAATCAATTCTGGCTTAGTTTTATGATTTTTAATTTTTCTATTTATATCTTAATGAGATTATCCTCCTTCAACACCAAAACCAAGAAGTTTATTTCAATGAAATCTCCTTTTTGGATATTCATTTGTATATAAAATATCGATGGAATGCAGATTCACTTCTTCTTGGGCAGCACTAAAAATTATTTATAAATAAATAAAGATATAAAAATATTGACTATGCATTTCTAGCTTAGAGAAAAACTAGGTCCCATTATTACTTTTAGAACTAATAAAAAGGAGCATTAAACAAATTATGTGTTTGCTAAATATTATTCTCAATTTTTCATTGTTTCTTAAATCTAGGGGTATCTTGAATTTGCTATTAATATGGTTGTGTCAATTAATTAATCTTGTTTTAATATGTTCTAATTTTTTCTTTCTTATCAATTTAAATTTAAAATTATTTAACTTTTACTTTGACATAGTCATTTTTCAATCTTATACTTATTGTGGTGTTCTCTTGAAAAATTTTATGATATCTTCCTCTCTAAAGTAACATCATAATTCTCTAGTAAGCTTATATATTTGTTATTTAATTTACTTGAGATCTTCTTTCATCAAACTTATAACTCTATCAGAATCCTAAACTATTTTTAATACCCAATTTAAATTTGATTAGTTTCAATTCTATAACATTTAAGATGTACCCACAAGTAATCACTGATGATGCTAGATTCCCCATGTAATAATATTTCATAATTAATGCTGAATGGAGCTGTTTGATTGATTCAAATAGTTGCTTAGCTTATTGGAGTGACACAACCTAAAATTAGGAAATAAATTTTATTTATTATGTTTTGAAGGAATTCTGTTGTTATAATATAAAAAAATGAGGAAAGATTTTTCTGAACAAAACTCCTTGAACATGCAGTTGATTCTATTAAAGGTTCTTTAAAAAATAATTTCATATTTTTCAATATGATTTTATATCCTGAGTTATTATAATTTTTGTAAATTTGAGATTCAAAAAAAAACACTTTATTTAGACTCAAAAAAAAATGATATTATTTAAATGTAATAAACTAACTTATTATGTCCAATATTTTCGTAAAAAGGTTAACCAATATTAATTTAATAACTTAACTAAAGACATGAAATTTGCACAATCGCTATTATCAACAAATAATTATTTATCTTAATTATTGATAAACTTATTAGATTAAATTAATAATAAATATAAATAATAATTTAAACTAAATTATTTATTTTTATTAGTCTAAATCAACCAATTTTTGAATATTTCATGAATTACTTGAGATAAATCTTATGTTTCTTTGGTTATATTTTAATAAATTATTTTATTAATCGTAATTTTTCTTTTGAAAATATAATTTTAATTTTATAAGGCATAATGTTAAATATTAAAAATGATAAGCCCAGGGTTTAGTTCAATTTGACTCTTAAAATTCTAAAGTTTACTCCCTTTAAATGTGGCCATATAAGTAAGATGGAGCAAAATTTATTATATTTATTTATTAAATAAATAAATAGATTTATAACCTAAAAGGATCTTAAATTCTAAAATATGGAATAAGTTAAACCAATTAAGTAGAACATTTGTTAAATTAATATGATATAATTTTAGAAATTTTGACAGATTTTTTAGAATATATGATTCTTTAAAATGAATTTTATAAAGCAAATATATTTATACTTTCATATTTACTTACACAATTAAAATAATTATATTATAAAATGGAAGTTTAATTCCTTCTAACCATTTTTAAAAATGAAAGGAGAGATTTAGATAAATAGATGTAAATAATGTTTTTGATAATGAATTAGGTTTCTATTGAAAAGATATAAGTTGAATACGGGAGGATAAATTGAAAAATGAACTATTTAAGATGTTTTGTATTTTGTCTATACCTAAGTATATACTTTTACAACAGAGGTTATCTTGATAGAGATAGGCATGCTTGGAAGAGATGTCTTTAATACAATTAAGAATGGAGTTTTAGTCTTGTTGAAAAAAAATAACACTGTTCTGTATAGTGACTATTATTAATTTGGATAAAGAATCTATAAGCACAACAACAAAGAAAATCATAATTGTGAGGAGAAGATTATCAAATGGAAATATGTGAATAAATTTAAGAATTTAACTAAAAGTGTTGGGGTAGATAGTTTGAGGTTTATAATTATATCAAATTTAATTTTATTTTTGAAAAAGTCAAGAATTTTTGATTTGGTATTTCTTACTAGTTCTAAATTAATTTAAAAATCTCCTTTGTTTTTAAAAATCAAACTAGATATTAAAAATAATTTTTTATCAAAATTAAAATTAGATATTATAAATTTTTTCATATATTAGTTAGGCTATTGTTTTATAATTTTAATAATATATAATAAAGCCAATCAGTTGAAATATGAATAAATAGATTACGATAGAAAAATATTAAAGTAAAATTAATCTAAGTATTATCCTTAATAAAATTCTACTTAATAAGAAAATTTTGTTAAACCAAAAAATGTAAATTCTTTAATAAACTCATTGAGTTACTTTCAAAGATGTTATAAAAGGAATTCTTGATTTGAATCCTATTATAATTTATTTAATTTATGACTGTATTTTATTTAATTATAAGATATCATAATTTAGAGCTTTCTGGTGATTGAAAGATTGGACTACAAACTTTATTGTTATATTGTCAAATATCAAATTATTAATCAAACCAAAGTCTATAAGTTTAAAATTGTTTCCTCCTTTAATAATCTATAAAGAGCCTAATAATGTATACTATTTCTCTTTTCAAACTTTTAAATTCTGATAGAAATCTTAGTTCTAATAATTTAAATGAAAGACTAAAAATAGTAATAGGTCAAAATTAATACTATTCGGTATAGAAAAAAAATTTTTTAATGGAACAACTCTAGCCTTGGAACATAATTAACATTATTTTAATAAATTTTAATTATTTTGAGAATAAGCTTAATCAATTTATATCTGCTATTCTAAATCTTTAACACTTATTATATCATTGACGACTCTATCATGTTAAAAATTTATTAATCATCAAACAGTTTTTGATTTAATCTTTAAAATCAAGTTTTGTATTTTTTAATAGTATATCAAAATTATTGAAAATGTCTTCTAGGAATTTTAGTGTAGATATATGATTTAAGTTATTTAGATTTTGTAGAGTAATAATGGTTGCTCTTAATTTATTAATCTTAAAATTTCCACTATTTAAGAAAATAAAAAGAAGTAATATCAATAAGTTTTATCGTCTTTGCTATAAAAGGAGGAAAAGAGCCTAACAAGTTTAGTAATATTATACCACCTACCAAATATGAGAATTCAAAAATTAAGGGATTTGTGCTTACTGTTGATTGAAGGCTTAACATATTCATTAAATTAAAAAGATATTACAAAGAGCTAGATAAATATTTTTCATTAATTTTTTTATTTTAATCCACAGTGATTCAAAAAGAGTCTTGATGAATGTTTAGAAAGTGCTGTGTCTCTTGAGGGTTTATTAAATTTTTGTCAAATTCTTCTAAACCTTTTAGATTTAAACTAAAGAAGGTGCTGATAATTGACTAAGTAAACGAAGTGATTCATCAATGGCACTAATGGCTTCATTATGTTCAGCAACCTTAGCTTCAAAATCAGCATGATCATTTGCTCTTTAGACTGTTGCCTCATTAAGTGTTTTTCTGTTTTAAGCAATATTTTCTTATAATTATTCGAGTTGGGCAGCAAATCTATCTCTTTAAGGAATAAGGACATTATCATAGAAATCATGAGCATTGAAAACCTCTAATGATGATTTTATATATAATATTACCTCTTTCTTTATCTTAGATTTCTTATTCAAGTCTTGCTACTTCTCTATTATGGACATCTGTTCTTCTTGCATATTAATGATGGACTTCAGCTAATTCCTCATCCAATTCATCAATCTAAATAAATAAATTATCATACAAGTTTGGCAATTTCTGTATTTAGTTCTGCAAGGATACCACCTGTTGATAAATGGAGCTCACCAAAATTCAAGATAAAGTTTCCCCATCCTGATTATTTGATTTGAGCAAACATTTTTTAGTCATGACTAGTCCAAACTGATGCTTTGATATCAATTGCTGTTATGCTAAGAACGAGCAAAGTGCAGACTGCTACTTTTAACATATATTATTATTATTATTACAAAAGTCAAAAACGAATACTTCATTTTTATATACTGATTAATTAAATTCTGAAAATGCAAGGCTCATCATTTATATACTAAAATTTATCAATTCAAAAATCCTACTCTAAAAAAGACTAAAATTCCTAAAATTTAAGAATTTTATAAATCAATTTAATTTATATATTATATCTCTTAATATGTTTTAATATAATTTTATATATAATTAATTCTAACCTATATTTCTTTCCAAATTATTTCCCTATTCTTTGGACTCATCTACTTTTATTTAAATATAACTTATAAAATTAAAAATATAAAATTAATAAAGAGATAGACTATAATTTATTTCATATTTTTAATCTTAATACAAAAATATCATCTTAAACCTTTAACTAAGTTATAGCTTAAACATCAAATATTAATTTTATTAATAATTACTAATAATTAATTTATGAATCTATACAGTACTTCAAATAAAAGGCTATTTATATCAATAAAGAATAATTGCTGAATTCAAGTAAAACTGATATTAGAAGGCTAGCAAATGAAGGCAAAAATTTTAAATGCCAAATAAGAGAATTAGATGGTGAATATTATGCCAATAGAATAATTGCATTAAAAGCAGAAAATGATACAGCCTAAACGATAAGAAATTAGTCAAGTATTGCTATCCAAATATCTAAATATAAATTGATGAGTAAATTTATAAGGAGTTAAACTATATAAAAATCAGGTTGAGACTGGTAAAAATGGATTAAAAGTATTAAATTTATTTATATTAAGTTATTTGATAGTTTAAGTTCAGGTAGAAATAGAAGCAATAATCCTTCAATAATAAGTTCGAAAAGTTTAGAAAATATGCATTAAAAATTGTCTCATTTATATAAAAATTATTCAGTCAATGATATTTCGAAAATTAAGAATTTTAGTAATTATGCTGTTGAAAAATATGAAGATTTTAATCAAAAATCTCAAGACTACCATAAAATATCAAATTCATTTATTAAATGGAAAAAAAAAGCATAATAAATTTAAAAAGTTAAGACAAATAATAATATATAATATAGCTAATCAATGATTATTTATTCCGTTTATTCTCAAGATTAAAATTGACTCATCAATTATTTCATTAATGGGTAAGAATAAAATTAAAGTAAATTAGGACAATAAATGTAAAACTCAATCCTCCTATAGAGTTTATAAATTCAAAAATAACATCATTACAAAATTGAATGAAATCGATAGTTTTTATAATACAAGCAGATTCTAAAAAACTTTATGATTATTGGTGGTAAAAGCACTTCTAAAAAGAAAATAGTAGAGTAATTAATTAGATCTATGATTATGCAACTCTAGTCCAATGTACTAAGTTACTTTATGTTAATATGAGTGTCACTTATAAAATCCAGAAGTGATCTTTTATCAATTACAGTTATTGATTTAACAATCTCTGACAAATCCATATTATTATATAAAATAGTTTTTTCATGATTAACTTTAAATCACTTTAAATCCTTAACTTTGATGAATTTAAAAAATAAAAGATTATATTGTATCAAAGGCTATAATATACAATTATCAACTTATACTGAAAAACTTTAATATAATATTTTTACAATTAATTATTTAATCTCTAGTAATAATTGCTCAATCTTTACAGATAGTTAAAGTCTTATTTAAAAAGGGGAAGAACATAAATTTATATTGAATTGCTTGGAATAAATGAATAATGATGAAACTGTTAGATTATTTTGAATAAATCCATAAAGATATAGAATTTATGATTCCTTAAATCTATTACAAATAATTATTAATTGAATAGAATTATTTAACCTGAAGTTATTAGATTTAAACCATCATAATTTGGTTGTCAAAATTATTTAAAAAAGTATTTTATTAATTAATTAACAATAATTCAATATTTATTATATATATGAATATAAAAAATTTTAATTAGATTAATGTATTATTTACTTCACAAGTATTGTTTGAATAACTTTAATATTATCATGTTTAAAGTTTAAAATTCAGATAACTATTTAAATTAATATAATAACTACAATATTTCTCAATTGTCAATTCATAGTGTGTTAGTAATTAAATTTCTTTATATATTATTTATTGTTTTTGATTTATATATAATTTATTTAAATAAAAATAATTAAATTACTCTATTCTTTGAATTATTAGTGTAAGTGCATTACTCATTATCATTTATTAAGGAATATAACAATATTTAATAATTTATTTTAATAGAAAAAGAAATTAAAAAAAATCTTTAAGTTCAAGATTAATATGACATTTAATATATCATATAATCTAATTTATTGGAAAAAAAATAAATGAACTATTAACATGAATTGTTGTTAATAAGTAAAAGAATAATTGTCTAATTTTAATATATAATATCTTAATCCTAATAAATATAATTTAGTCTATATTTATAATTCTATTTATTTTTCATAAAAGATTAGAAGGGCTTATTCTCGGCTTACTTATAATAGTGATTAGAATTTCTATAATAAATATTATTATAAGAGATGGTATTAAGTAGAGAACTTGTTGAAAATAGTTATAGCAAAAATTCAACTTAAACATTGCTTTTTAGAAAAACTGAATCATCTAATTCTAAATGTTATTAAACAAAATCAATAGTATCAGTATAATTACTAAAAGAATTTACAAAATGTCGATTAGCTAAGCATCTTGAATCTTAAAGTTAAGTATTTCTTCTTTCAATATGAGAATTTCTGGATTTCAGTTCATGCTAAACATTAATATCAATACTAATAAATAAATACTTTAATCTTCTTCATAGCTTCTCACTTCAACTAGAACCTTTAATTATTATATATTAAATGAAGCAAATCTTTTTAACATAAAATAAATTAGTTAAATATTTCTATAGATACTTCACATTTTACTCTTTTCTGTGTTATTCTTTTTATCAGCAATAGAAACTAATATCTTGATCAATATATTATTCCCTTAAAAATCTTAACTTTAATCATTTAAAATAAGATTAAAACAACGAATAGCTTTTCATCCTTGTTCTTTTAATTAGTTGAGAATCACTTGACTTGAAATTTTATTATTTTTATTCAACATTAAGATTTGTCTTCTTTATTAAGGTAATTCTATCAAAAGTAGTTTTTGAAATTGTTTCTGTATTTCTAATTCTTATTTAATATTTTAATAGAAATAGGAAAATGCAGTATAACAAATTGGTCAATACACTTTTGGATGCTTTTACAAAAGAATATCCAAAAAGGAGATTTCTTTTAACTAAACTTCTTGGTTCTGGTGCGGAAGGAGGAGCCTTTCTTGCTTCCGCCTCTGATTGGAGCAATAATCCTTAATAAGTAGTAATTAAAATACAAAAAAACATGAAACCTAATGAAAAATAATTTCTTAGTTCTTTAATAGAGTACCAAAATTTATATGAAAATGGAAATAATTAATAATATCTTCCTACTTATTTAATCAGAATATATGAATATTTTTAATGGTAAAAGAATCATTGCATTGTTATGGAAGTTGGACAAGAAGATTTATATCGTTTCATAAATAACAGTAGGAATGTATCAATATAAGAAAAAGTACAAATTTGTTTTTAGGTAAATATTTTAATAAATATAATTATAGATTATTTACCCAATTCTATTTCTACATTAATAGAAGTTAATCCATCGAGATATTAAACCAGAAAATTATATTAAAGTAGGAAATGTTTTTAAACTTATTGACTTTGGTTTAATTAGGAGTTCGTTATCTGATGTTAAAACTTTATAAGTTGGTAGTACAATATTTCAAGCACCAGAAATTCTAGAAAATAGAAGTGATTATACAGATAAAGTTGATATCTGGTCATTAGGATGTGTTTTTTATGAAATATTATAAACTTAACCTTTGTTTGATGGTATAAATAAATTTATAATCTTAGGATAAACTCATTAAGAAGTAACTAAAAATATTAAAAATCATAAAACCTACCCAGTTCCTGTTAATAATAAAATCAATTAATTATAAATTTCATAATAATTTAAAACCATTTTAACTTCAATGCTAATTTATGATGAAAAGAAAAGGCCATCAATATAATAAGTTTATGATG